ATATGGATATGGGTGTGAGTGTAGGCGCCAGTGCTCTCTTGCCCAAACCCACCCATGCCCTCATCCTTACTTATAGAAATGTCTTATAACTCGGAAAAAGAGAGTGATAGAATTGTGAAACTTTCAGAGTATATAGAGGACCTTCAAGACTACCATCAAAACAATTTTCGGCTCTCTATGAGTTTCCTTGATGGAATTATGAATTTTTCTTTTTACGCTAGTTTTCGCTAAGAAAATCAGAAAACTGGTCGTAACTCTCGAAGAAAAAACCGTCGGCCGCAATTCTTTTAGGCTTTTTACCTGCTTGAGATCCCCTATCGAATGATATATAAACGAACGAAATCAGAGCGAGACACCTGGGAATATTCCCTCGTTAGAAATCATATCAATCAAAACAATATTTAAAATAGATTACCCAAAAAGTGCTAGTAGTCTCTAAATGGGGACCGGGATCCGAAAGCCTAAAATTACCGAGATCAAATCCACGCATCTCTATTTCTATTGTATTGTTCGTGCTCTTTTTAATATTAACATCCGTATGTCTTATAAGATGATCCGAAATGTAAAATTCGAAATATTCAAAAAAAAACGAATATTTTCTTTAAAAATTTTGGTCTTAGAATTTTAATTGGTTTTTTTTACCGTAAACAACCAATATGATGCACCAAATCGATCTCGACCAAATGGTTTTGAACGTATTTCAATTGATGGTTTATTAGCAACAAACTGCTTCAATGTATGATCAGAATCAAATTGTTTTTCAAATAAATTCTATAATAAAATTTTTCTTGAAAGCAATTAAGAAAAAAAGACAAAAGAAATTTATCTACTTTTAAAATTCGAAGTTTAATATCAACAGTTGATTTTGAATATCCATGTTCATCTAAGTAATCTCCATCATCACGATTAAAACGATAAGCAAACTAAATATTTAAACAAAAAAAAAAATTACTTCAACAAACCATCATTCAAATCTTTACCCTTGTTATACTTGAAACAAATTGTTCTCTTTTTATTGTTTTACCACCTAAAGTTTTTTTAAGTAAAGCAAGATGAAAATCAATAAAACGTCCACTAACTATATAAAAAAAAACAACAAAATTTTTTGAAAGAAAAAAAAAATTCATATCATTCTTACGCTTTTCTTTTTCACTTATTAGATTATCTTCAAGTATGCGTAATGGATAATTTTTCATTTTTATATATGAACGAAATCGTTCAATAAAACAAAGAATAACACCGTAATCAGGATTATTTAATAGATTTAAATGTCGTTGATCACGTTTTAAACAAGGTTTTTCTTTATCATCTTCATCTAATGATGACTCGTCATCAAAAAAATCAACACCATTTAACATCATTTCAACATCAGATTCAGTTAAAACTGGTAATGAAATAACTAATTCTTTTTGTAATATTTCTGGATCTATGAACATTGAATCATCATTTTCAGCATCCATAATTTTACCGTTTCTTGCTTTTTTTTGCCCTGTTAAACTTTACTATATGATCAATCAGTCAAATGATCAATCGTTCATTGGTTTGAACATCAAGTCTTTGTCTCATTAACGTGACAATATGTGGCACCATCTAGACGAAAAATATTTTCGAATCAATATATGTTTTTTTTATTTTTATTGATTTGACAAATTTTCGAAGTTTTTTTTCATGACCTTGAAGAAGTTATAGCATAAGAACAAAGTTTTGCTTTTAATAAGATGTCTGCAATGTGTGATAACTATTGTATTAATAAGTATATATTGAAAAGTCAGTAATGCACTTAATTTCTTGGTATATTTCAATGTATTGTATACGAGAATCAATAAATCAAAATCTTTCAAATCGAACTTGTATTGATTTAAACATTTTATCTGATATTTTTCTTGCCATAAATTTAGATCTGATGATTATTTTCATAAGTTAACAGTATTAATATCGGCAAATCGTTACCAAAGGGTGATCCAAAAGTTTCAACCTCTATCTCTAAATTGACGTTATTTTTTACAAATACATATGTAGGTTATTGTTTGAAGTATACAGCTTTGTAGAAAAATATTAAAGTTAACATCTGAAAAGAAAATTCCATTGAGACTAGAGCTCATCGGATCCGGTTTATTGAACGTGTTTAGAATCCAAACCCGCTCGAACCGTACTTAGCCGCCTCAAAGATACGAGATACTCTTTTTTTCTCGTTTTCTTGTATTCGACGACTAGTGCACCCGATACATTAGGTCCAAAGTTTTTGGATCTGGATTTGACAGGCTCCAATCGAGATCAGAAAAAGTTACGGTTCTTTTTGTTAAACACGACTAAGCATTTTACATCTTACATTTTTCCACAGAAACAAAAAATATTCTTGTAATGTCTGAGTGAAATATTAATTTCTAAATATTTTTACATGATTCGATCGAGTTCGACAAGCTCTACACGAATATGAAAATAAGAAAAAAAGACTTCTGATCCTATTTTCCAATACATAATGTGGAAGAAACTAGGCAGACTAATAAAAATTTCACATACATTGTACAAAAGTGTATATTTAAATTTCAATAAAATTAGTTAATCGACTGATAATTTCTCTATTGCCGGATGCATGATATTTTTATTAGTCTCTTGGACTATATCGAATGATATAAAAGTTTCTAGAAAACAATATTTTGTTTCAATAATATGTAAAATGTTTAATAATGATCAATCAAACAACTATAACTTTTTATGACATGCCGATGTAATTCGAACTAATATCTTTCCAGATTATAGCTTTCATATTTCTCTACAAAATTGTATATTTCAGTCACCTGTATATGCATATAGGTGTTCATATAGATAATACTACTCCTGAGCTAGCGATTCTTCGTTTGTTTGATCTTTCAAATTGCTCTTGATATAATCATTTAGCTAAAAATAACATGATGCAAGATCTGGTGAATGTGGTATTAATTCAATATCTTCTTCTGTTACTTATGTACATTATTATAGATTAGCCATTCTACTATGTACTCAAGCAATAAAACTTTCGATATTAAGTAAGTATGACATTGATTGTTGTCTACAATAATGCAAGATAAATCATATCTGAACGTCATATTTACGTGAAGTACCATTTAACAAATATGTATATAACACAAACAAACGAAGCATAACTATTTTAAAATAGTCGGTCAACGAAACAAAAGAAATTATCTTTATTTTACAACACATCAAATGTCTAAAATGTGACATACACATATGTGAATGAAATCTATAGATGATAATCGAGTAAAAATAATTCAATATATCCATGCCATACCAATATTGATATGTGTGTTCGATGGCATGATTCTTACTCAAACAGTATTATTGACACTAACTGGGAATGATATGAACGATAGACCCTGATTGCACCTAAAATCTTATGAAAATACTTTAAATATGGCATTAAAATAACCAGGAAGTTATAATCTATTATTGAATTACATTTAGCAATGAAAACCAAAAGGAACTAAATTGTGTTTTTTCACGCTTCCGTTCTTTGTTCGAGAAAATTAAAAATTTTTCCAATGGCAATCAAAGTAGAAACTGACGACGGAACTTTCCGAGGTGCTAAAACGTTTTTCAGTTCAAATTTTGTCTATAAGTAGGGGATGTATAGACTAGAAAAATCTTAAGATGATATTAGCGCAAGTTGCAATTCGGCTGAGATATCGGCTTTTTATTAAATTCTTCTGTAGGACCCCATTTTTTCGGTAAAATCAAAGTTTCAAATGTTGACCTGAAACTTTATCCATATGAAGGCCTCTACCAGACTACCTTGCCTACAAAGTTTTAGAATTTTTGGACAAATCATCTCTGAGATATGGGTATATTAGCATAAAGACACTTTTGTAGGCCCGTTATGTTATGCATGGATATTTTGAAAAATCCATATCTCAGAGATGATTTGTCCAAAAATTCTGAAACTTGGTAGGCAAGGTAGTTTGGTAGAGACCTTCATGTGGGCAACGTTTCAGACCAAAATTTGAAACTTTGATTTTACCAAAAAAATCGGGTCCTTCCGAAGAATTATTGTAAACGGTCGATATCTCAGCCAAATCACTACTTGCGCCAATATCATCATAGGATTTTTCTGGTCTATATATCCCTTAGTTGTGAACAAAATTTGAGCTCAAAAACTTTTTAGTTTAAGTGAAAGTATTTATTCATTATAATTGGTTGCCATGGAGAAATTTCTAATTCTTACAAAAAACGTACTGATTTAACTCAAATCAAATCTTTAATTGTAGATGATAGTAGAGCCTGTTATTTCATAGCTCTAGTTTGCATTCAATTTTCCCATTCAAAAAAAAAAATTTACGTAAACTATTACGTTATTCACACAAACGCCATCTGTGATCTGCATAAAAAATATACCTTTCTCAATGATGTCCTAGCCCAATAAAAAAAAAACATATTAATCATTCTCATATTTGCTTAATTTAATATAACAATGAAAATTAAATTTTTGATTTGTATATATGGTGAAAGAATTTTATATATAGATGTCAGTGGTGAGAAAAAACATATTTATTAGTAAGGTCGGAAGAAGAGAACAGAAATTTTTGTTTTCTTAGATGCATATAATAACCTGGTTTTTTTCTCTAATATCGTTTTATTTGAATTTTTTACTTTTATTTAGAAATAACTTTCATCATAATGCAACTTCAAATTAAAAATTTACATAATGAATCATTTACTGTTGATTGTAATAAGGAAGATACGGTAGATTATTTAATTAAAAATTTTAATTAATTTAAATTTCATTGTTTGTGTTTTTTTTATTATTGTTGAAGGTTAAAGTAGTCAAAGAAAATATAGCTGCAAAAAATGATTTAAGAGAAAAATATGATGCTGATTTACTCAAATTACTATGTAAAGGAAAAGTCATGGATGATGAAGATACAATTGAGTCTTTTAATATACCAAGTGATGGTTATCTTGTTCTTGTTAAACAAACACCCGGCAAACCAAAACCACCTGTATATAAATTTTCTTTTCTTATTATAAATTATTCTATATATATATATTTTTTATTTTTCTAGCCAAAAAAGAAACCTAATCAAGGATTCAATAATTTTGGGTTTGTATTTTATTATAGAATTATTATTTCAATAGAATTTATTTTTTAGTGGATTTAATTCATCATTTGGAATGGGACAAATGCCAAATTCATTTATGCAAAGTCCTTTTGGTCAAGATCCATTTATGCAACAATCATTTCAACCACATTCGTTTATGCAAAGCCCATTTCAAGCAAATAGTTTTGGTCAAAACGCGTTTTCACAACATGCAATTCGACCACAAACACATTTTCAACCACAAGCACACTATCCACCTCAAACACAATATCAACCACATCACCAAACTGGTAGTACGACGACTCCAGGAGCAAGTGCACATCCATCAGCTAGTGAACGTGAAGAAGCTTTACAAACCTTATTAGCAATGGGTTTTGATCGTGAACAATCTGAAAAAGCATTACGTGCTAGTGCTTATACTCCAGAACTTGCCATAGAATTCTTAACATCAGTATTAAATAAATGAAATTTTTACAATAGTTTTGTGTTAAATTGCTGTATTTGTCTTTTTTTTAAGGGTAACATTCCTGAAACGAATGATGAACCTGATCTTCCACCAGCACCTACACCAGAGGTTCCACCGGTTCAACCGAATCCAGCAGCTGCTTTTAATCCAGGTACTGGAGATTATTAGTTTATGTATTTTTCTTTTTTAATCAACACAACAATCGAAGTATGATCAATCTGATATTGAAAATTTATTTTTAAAGAAAAAAAGATCTCATTGTTTTACATGTCGCATTTATCTTTAATTTGATCATTACGTTCTATTTTAGACTAAGAAATATCGTAGTATTGCAGAATTCTAGTTCAGTTGAATTTCATTATATTTAACGCAACACTATGAAATAAATTCTAATTTTCATTTACCTTAAGTAAAACATATCAGTTATTCTTTATATGTATGTATTCTGAAAGTATATTCACATGAAGATTAGTGACATAGACTAGACAGGGCGTCGTTCTACCATCAGAAGAAAAAAAACGTAATAATTACCATGATTGACACTATGTTTCATAGATTTCTCACAAGATCATATGCAGAGATGAGCAGCTCTGCTGCAACGAAAATAAAAGATCGTTGTTTTATTGGAAAACTCTGCTTTTTCTTTAGTTTCTTCACACACTAGTTCTTGTACTAATTAATGACCCTCAGATTCTGTTTTAAATGATAAAAATGGAAGAGAAAAAATTACAGTTTGCGGTATCTATCTGATATTTTCTCGCTCCTACTTCAGGCATTCGTTCAGTTGCTCCACTTCGGAGTCGAAGGTGCTCATGTTTGATCGTATAGTTTTGCCCTATCACCCACAATCTCTTGGTTACGCTCATTAATTGAACCTGCGTATGTTTTATTCAGAATAAATAGTTGACTTGATCAAAATTCCCAAGGAAGAAAAGAGCGAAATCTTATAGAATCTTGGAGTCGACAGTTTGAAAGTCCTTAAATCTTACTGCTTTTGTAGGAAAATCTGTTACCATCCATCAACAATGAATACAAGATTTTTCATTCAGACTTACTTGTTTTTTTAAATCGAAGATTGTTGGTGTAGGTGCCTGTTTTCTCTTTATTCACGCTGGCACCCTAAAGGAAGAAGAGATACTAGTATAAAATACTTTTGTAATGTAGATGGCATCTTTTAATAGACTCATGAAAGTTGATTGGAAGTCCTGTGGGATTCTAAGGAATTCAGAAGTCCAGGTTTCTACCATCTAAAATATTCAACTACGCGTTCCCTTTTGATTATGCACGAATTTTTTAGACATATGTTCTTTTGTAAATTGACTCTAAAATTTATCGATTAAATCAATCCAATATAGTATTATTAGGATCAAGATTTTAATTTCTCCAAAAAAGAAAAATGATTTTTAACTTTTCGTATATTTTCGATTTTAGGTGCGGGTATGAATCTTCAACAAATAGGTCAAATGCTCGAACAAAATCCTCAACAACTTCAAGTAATTAAAAATGCATTAAGAGCTGAACATCCAGAAATGGCTAGAGTAAATAAAAGAAAATATTTTTTTTCGTTTCATAAATTTCATTTTATTTGGTTTCTTTTTAATAAGATGATTGATGACGATCCACAAGGATTTATTAATTTACTTCGACAAGCAGGAGAAGGTGGTGGTAGTCAAAGTCCATTGCTTGGCCATGGTGCTGGTGCTGGTACTGGTACCACTGGTGGTGCTGGTCAAAGCTCAATAAAAGTTGAACTTTCATTCCAAGAACAACAAATTATCAATCGAGTATGTATTTATTTTACTTGAATTGAGAAAGACGTAATTGATAAAGGATCGAATCTAAGTTGAAGCATGGCCGATGATGATGAATCGTTCACCTTTATCCGAAAAACTATGAGGATCTGAACTAAACATGCACTACCATCTGAGGCCATCTTTAAAATCAATCATAATTTTGTTTTTATTTATTTATTTATTTATTTATTTATTTATTTAATAGATTCAAGATATGGGTTTTGATCGAAATCGTGTTATGGAAGCATTTCTTGCTTGTGATCGTAATGAAGAAATGGCTGTTAATTATCTTTTGCATGCTTACGATTAAAGAACAAAGTTAAAATATGTAATATATGGACGATATTAAAATGTCTCACTTTCAATTTGTGATATTTGAAATAAAAACTATTAAAAAGACGAATTTTTTTATTTTTTGTGTTTTTTAAAAATAATTATTTGTCTCTGTACTTTTATCTAGTTTTTCTTTTGTCTACAGTGTGTCTTGTTTTCTTAATTAATGTATCCGGTGTTTTGTCCAAAATAATTCTTTGACTTATTATCTATTTTATAATAAACACGAAAGAATTCACAAAAAAAAAAAGAAAAAATTTTACATATACATATATATGCAAATTTCACAGATTGATATGACTTATTTTGCTCCGAAATCAGAAGAAGAATATAAAGAATATTTGGATAATTTACTTGTCGAATATCAATTTGCTTGTTTTAGTGAAAAACTTGGTGATGGTATGTTTATGCTAATTCATTATAAAAATTTGTTATTTTTTTAGAATTTTTTCTGATTAAGGTTGTTATCGATTAGGAAATTATCATGAAATTATTAAAAATGATCATTCAACAGCAGCTAAAATATATAAAATGTCTTGTGATGAAATGAATTATGGACATGGATGTTATCGTTATGGTACATTTGCATTTCTTGGTCGAGGTTAATAATGAAATAAAATTAATCACAAAAAGAAAACAAAAAAAAATTTTGAATTCTCATTTTATTAGGTATGGAAAAAAATATTCCAGTTTCAACAAAATATTTTGAACGTGGATGTGAATTGGGATTTTTAAATGCTTGTCATAATGCTGGTATTGCTTATATGGAAGGTGATGGTTGTGAAAAAAATATTAATCGAGCTATAGATTATTATAAAAAAGCTTGTTCAGGATCGATTGGTCAATCATGTTTAAATCTTTGGTCAATTTATTTTAATGGACATAATGGTGATATTGCTAAAGATGGATCAACAGCACTTGATTATGCATCAAAAGCATGTGACTTAGATATATTTCAAGGTTGTGTTAATGCAGCAATTATGTGTCGACGTGGTGATGGTGTACCAAAAAATACTGAACGTGAAAAATATTTTACACAAAAAGCAACAGATTTAAAAAAGAGATATAATGAACCTGGCATTGTATTTGGTGAAACACATAAAAATTTAGATTAAAAATTTCGTTTTAGTACTATTAGAATGTGTTAAGCTTTTTTCTTTCTGGAATAAAATATCCAACAACAATAAAATATTAATGAGAATTGAATTTACGAACTAATTAAAAAGATACAGAGGTGTTTCGGAACCGTCGGAATTGAGGAGGAAGCGCATAAAAACAATGAAACGCTGGAACTTGGCTGGAAAAGAACAAAAATTGAGGGATCACTCTTATGAAAATAAATTGTTTAAAGATGCTTAAAATATTCATTATTCTAGATTAAGTTAGATGTATGAAATAACATGATCAAATCTATTTTTACGTATAGCACGTACTCTTCCTCGAATTATAACTTTCATTTATATATTGAATTTATTTCTTAAATAATGAACTTATGAGCGAAGTTTTCAAATTAGTAAATCATTTGTAAGTCAAGACTATGTACATTATATAGACGCAAATGAGCTTTGATTTACACTGAAAAACGTTCACGTCCTTAGCTCATTGTTACAGAGATACAACACTTTTATGGTATTTTTTTTAACTAAATGCCGTGGTAGCAGAAAAAGTGATTTTCAAATTTTGACTTAATACTTTGCATAGAGATAAGTCTAAAGAAGAAGAATTTTTTGCGAATTCTTCCGATCTTGTCGCTGTTACTGTCATAATTCTTGATGCGAGAGAGGATGCGATGAACCAGTTCCTACCACTTTTCACGTCGCGTCTGTGAAATTTCAAGCTGTTACCAGAAAACTGTCTGAAAAATTTTAGAAGACAGGTTTTCTTAGTCACTTTCTGCCAGACAAACTTTGGAAAACGTCCCTGGTTAGAGAAGTAAGGTTTCACGACACAACCTGCAAAAATATTAGTACTGTTTATAGTTGAGAGTGGATATGAGTATGGATACCGGTCTGCGTGCTTGTTCTTTCTATGTCTACACCCTTATCAGCAATAGTTGGCGAGTAGACGGCAATGGAAATCGATTTGGAATTAGAAAATGTAATATTGATGATGATGTATTTGTTGTTGAAAGAGGAATATGAGACAATGACCTTCGATAAATACGAACGTAATATTTTAGTATGAATAAACAATTTTATGTATTTTTCTTTGTTTGAGTTCGTGTATTCACTTGCTGTTCATTGCAGAAAATGTTAAGTCAATGGAAAAATTAAATAACATTTTTCGAAAAAAATAATTTTTCTAAGAAAACCTACAATAACTATTGAGAATTTTATGTTTTACTCTCAAGCGTCAGCTCATGGACACCTATTGCAAAGCTCATTTGGAGCTTCAGAAATAGACGAAATTTACTCTTTGTTAAAAATAATCCATCAAAGGTTAAAATATGAAAACAATATATTATATATTTTTTTTTTAAATTTTTTATACTTTATTTGTATGCTTTTAAATAATAGAAATAAGAAAAAAAAGAAAAGAACAAACTAGTTATAAAGACATAAAATGATAAATTTTAAGAGAAGAAGAAAAAAAAAAGAAAAAGAGAAGTGTGAGTGTTGTGCATGCTCTATTAAAAAGAAAAAGAAGACTTTTTTTGTTTTGTTTTGATTTAATGGTAAAAAGAAGAAGAAATAAAAGCAAGTTTTATTTTGATGCCATCGCTGCGCACATACAAATTCACACAAAGGTGATATGGGTTTAATAGACAAAAAGAAGAGAAGAACGTCTTAAAGAAAGAGAATTAAAAAAAGATGCTGGTTGCTGCTGCTGTTGCTGTTACGACAATCAATATTAATAGAATTTATTGAAATTATTAATAACCCGACAATTCGTTCAATGTCATGTCGAGTTCTTCGCTTACGCTCTTGTACTTCTCCTTTTCGGCAAGTAATTCGTCTATAAAAAAAAAAGAACAATAATATACAAGAAACAATTTTGTTAAATCATTACCTTCGAGACGATCGACTTCCTTTTGTAATTTAGCCATTGTACGTTCAGCTAAATCGGCACGTTGTTCAGCCTATAATCATATGTATGTGCATATATCTGTTTGATTCTAACAAAAAAAAATCCTTACATCTTTAAGGCGTGTAGATAAATCACGAATTTGTTCTTCATAACTTTCTTCACGTTGCATGGCCTAGGAATAAATAAATAAATAAATAAATATATAAGTCAAAGAAATTGAAATTAAAATAAATTTACCTCTTGTTCAGATACTTCAAGTGATTTCATATTGTTACCTACAACTTTGAGTTCTTCTTCAAGTTCAAGAATTTTTCTAAAAACAAAAAAGAAAAAATATTTTTCAATCTCATTCAAATAAGCAAAAGATAAATTAAATCATGCATACATTCCAGTTTCCCATATCATTTACGTACTATCTAAAACAAAAAAATAATCATGCACGAAAAAGATATCAACCAAAAAAAAAAATCATCGTGCATGAAAAAAAAATCAAACTATGTATCTTACGCTTCGGCAGCTTCAGCACGATCTTCAGCACGTTCCAAATCGACTTCCATAATAGCAATACGACGTGCGACCTACGAGAAAAAAAAATTATTTTCTTTAATGATGAGCCTAGAAAACTTACCTCATCGTATTTTCGATCGGAATCTTCAGCAATAAGTTGTGCTTCAGCCAATTGTTGTTCAAGTGTAGCAATACGTTCATCATCCTGATATGTACGTTGTTCGAGACCTTTGCGACTTCTAAACACAATAAAATTAAATATTTTATTTCTTAATATAAAAGATAAAATTTTTTATTTTTTATTTTACCGTTCACTTTCATCAGCTGCTTGCGAAGCTTCGTCAAGTTTTTGTGTTGTTTGTGTGAGACGTTCTTCAGCACGTTCAAGATCTTCCTCAACTAATTGTAAACGACGTTGAAGTCCAGTTAATTCACCTTCAGCCTAAAATTATAAATTATTTATATAAGAAATTATTCGAAGATAAAAAATAAAAACAAACAAATTTATCTTTTATTTATTCTATCAACAAGATAATCATCTATACTTCCTTTCTATTGATGACAATTTAAATTTCATTCTGTATTATTTATAGATATTTTAATTAATTATTTTTAGTGTATATTCATTGAATAGACACATGTACACAAACTATTTTACCTCTTTTAATACATTAATTATATCTGTAACTTCAGTTTGCATAATGGAAATTTTTAAATTGAATGTTATTTGTGATGAATATGGTGATATTTGATATATTTCACAACCGGGTTTAACTGGACGACGAGAATTTTTTACTGATGATGAAGATGAATTTGATGATGATGTCGAAGATATCGAACAAGACATTTCATTATCATCTGATGATAATTGAAATGTATCATCATCATTATCATTTAAACGATAATCACGTAAACGTTCATTATCATAAAATTTTTGGCGAATTTGTTTAATACGTTCATTATGTAAAATATTTGATATAACATAATTTGATCGTTGTATTGGTTGTTGTTGATATGCATGAAAACGTGATTTTGATGTTGATGAACGATTTGTTTTATTTTTATTTGTTTTTACTGTTGTTGTTGTTGTTGTTGTTGTTGTTGTTGTTGTTTGTGGTGATGATAATTGTGGATGACGATTTTTAAATAAATTATAAAATTCAATTGCATTTATTTGGCCTTTAGCCAATAATACACTTAGATTATCTTGCGTCATGATTAATATTACTTTTTTTTTATTTTTAGAAAAATCTTCGTTCTTCTACATAATATATTGATGTTCTTTTTTGGTTATACATAGATAAATGTGTATGTATGGATAGATATGCGCATATTATTTCTGAGGGAAGAAAAAAAAAAGGAAAGAAGAAACAAGAATAATACTCTCGACAAACGACTGTTCGGTTAATCAGAAAAGAAAATAAGAGAAAGAGATAGATTTAGTATATATATATGTGTAGAGTTGATGATAGATATTGTGAAGCGAATGTAAAAAAAGAAAGAAACGGAAGAAAAGAAAAAAAAATAAATCAGACTTACATCAGTAGCAGCTTTCTCTTTAGCTTCAAGTTTTGCGTTGGCTTCGGTTAATTGTTCTTGAGCAGCATCAAGTTCAGATTCGATCTGTTGGATTCTTTTTTGTAAACCATTACTTTCTTCTTCAGACTAATAATGATAAAGAAAAATTAATCAAAAAAAAACCTATTCAATCAAAAAATAATAGTAAAACTTACGGCTTTGAGTTTTTCTTCAAAATCCTTTTGACGCTGTTCAGCTTGTTCGGCACGATCGACAGCATTTTCTTTTTCAAGTTTCATAGCTTGCATCTTCTTTTTGATGGAATCCATCGTAGCTGTTGTATTTGTATTTGAAGACATTTTTGACCGGTGCGACTTTTAAAAATTCTAATGAACAAGTTGAAAAAAAAAACGTAATTCGACGATGAACTTAAATAATTACACTTCCAACAGATCTTCAAATAAAAAAATATATAATACAAAAAAATAAAACCCTAAGTATATATAAAATATTTTTCAGTAAAGACTACTGAATAGTAATGATAGGATAAAAAAGAAGCAAGATATTATTCTACTGCATATATGGAAACGTTTGTGTCCAATACATATACAGAACTTAGAAGAGAAAAAAAAAAGACGATGCACGGTTCCTAATGCCTACGCTATAGATAATAACAACAACAACAAACTCGCTAAAGATGTGGTATATAGAAGTACTCTCTTTTCTTTCTCGGACGCTTTTACATACTACTATTGGTGTATGTAGGCGTTAGTGGTAGGCACTGACAATAAAGAGAAAAAATTGCGGTTTAGTAGTTACGTAGATATATATATATATGCATATTTGGATGCATATGAGTATGGAATAACAGATAGATTTAGCTTCTTTTGCCTTTCTCTATATGTTTACTTGTCATCAATAGAACAACCATTGATGGCTGTATAGTCAGTTGTACGATACCATTTTCTTCGTCGAGTTATATTTTTGCTTTTTTCTCTTTTCTGCTCAGTGTTGTAGAAATGGACCGCTGTTATATACAGACGGAGAGAATCTAAAAATATTT